CCATCCTGGATGAGATAGTGCCTCACCTGTAGACTTAGGGATAGAAACAGTGGACAAAGAAGATATAAAAGCATAATGAGGTGACGACAGACGATGATAACTTAAATCGACATAGTGGGGATTAGGATTAAGTGTGGATCGTACACCTTTGCGGAATGCAATTGGTTGACTAAGAGGAGACAAGTCCGCAGTACCCTGCAAAATCTGATGCAGGGTATGAATCATGTGGGCCTGATGCTGGGTGTGGACGACGATGATAAGTCAAGAGTGGTGGAGCTGCAGAAGGTTGAACTGGATTGTGTGGAGGAACTGGAGCTATAGGTGGTGGAGCTACAACTGGAGTTGTAGGTGGTGGAACTAGAGATATAGGTGGTGGAGCTACAACTAGAGCTGTAGGTGGTGGAGCAGGAGATGTAGAGTAAGATGAATGGGAGATAGTGACTGAATCTCCAAAAGATGAAACTGGTAGTACCTCAAAAATATCTAAGTGATGACCTGAACTTGTGGAGTATGATTGGGTTTCAAAGAAGGTAACATTAGTGGACATAAGGTACCGCTGGAGGTCAGGAGAGTAGCATCGATTCCCCTTTTATGTTCTCGAGTAACCCAGAAATACGCACTTAAGAACACGAGGAGCTAACTTATCTGTTCCTCGAGTAAGGTTATGGACAAAACAAGTGCTTCCAAAGATACGGGGCGGAAGAGAGAACAAAGGTAAGTGGAAAAACATGACAGAGAATGAAACTTGGTTCTGGATAGCTGAAGATGGCATACGATTAATAAGATAGCAAGATGTAAGAACTACATCCCCCAAAAACACAACGGAGCATGAGATTGTATGAGTAGGGTACGAGCAGTTTCAATAAGATGTCTATTCTTTCTTTCAGCTACCTCATTTTGTTGAGATGTGTACAGACAAGATGTTTGAAGAATAATCCCATGAGATTTCATAAACTGCTGAAATGGGGAAGACAAATACTCTCGGGCATTATCACTACAAAATGTGCGAATAGAAACCCCAAATTGATTTTGAATTTAAGCTTGGAAGGTCTAGAAAATAGAAAACAGCTCAAATCGATTTTTTATCAAAAATATCCAAGTGCACCTGGAATAATCATCAGTGAAACTGACAAAGTAGCGGAATCCCAAGGTGGAACTGACTCGACTAGGACCTCAAACATCTGAATGGACTAAAGTAAGAGGTGACTCTGCTCAATTATCAAGACGCCGAGGGAAATGGGAGTGGGTATGCTTACCGAGCTGACATGACTCACACTCTAGAGCTGACAAATGAGATAAACCAGATACCATTTTCTGAAGTTTTGACAAATTGGGATGTCCCAACCGTCTATGTAATAAATCTGGTGAATCAGTAACAGGACAAGTTGTTGAAGGAAGACAAGATGTATGTCCATGTGATTTAGCAAGGATAAGGTAATAAAATCCGTTTGATTCACGCCTGGTACCAATGATCCGTCCCGTACTGCGTTCCTGTATAAAAACATGGTCATCAAGAAATAAAACAACGCATTTAAGTGATTTGGCTAAGCGACTAACAACTATAAGATTAAAAGGACTATTGGGAACATAAAAGACTGAATCTAAAGGTAAGGAAGGAAGTGGGCTTGCTAGACCTATTGCAGTTGCCTTGGTTTGAGATCCATTGTGACTTTTGGAAGAGATTGAGAATACGAAATAGTAGTGAAAAGAGATTTGTTACCAGAAATATGATCTGATGCACCAGAATCAATGACCCAAGACTCAGATGATGAAGATTGAGAGAAACAAGTCACGCTATTACCTGTTTGAACAACAGAAGCTATCTGAGAAGATGTCTGCTTACATGCTTTGTACTGAAGGAACTCAATATAATCTGCTAAAGAAACCATCCTACTATTCAAAGCATCGGTTCCCATGTCGCTACAATTTGTAGTAGTAGGGTTAACTTGAAATAGTGGAAATAAGTAACTCCTGTGGGAAAACTGAAGAAATAGCTAGGGAAACACTGTTTACAACAGGAAAATAGAACACTGTTCTACGCCGGAAACACTGTTCACGCTGGAAACACTGTAGCTCGCCGGAAAATTGTAAAGTTGTCGGAATTTGTCGTAACCAGGATGGATAGACTCGGAATTCCCTTGCGAGCAAGCTGTACTGAAGAAATGTTCTCAAAAAATGGCCGGAAAGATCACTGTTCACGCCGGAAAAATATAAAAGTGGTCGGAATTTGATTTGAATTAGATGGGTAGGCTCAGAATTGTGAGGAGAGCAGACTGTCCTGAATAAGCTTCGTGAAAAAATGGCCGAAAAGTGGCCGGAACCCTCTCCATAAAAGTTGTTGTTGGCGGCGCGTGGAGGCGCGTGGCAGCTTTTCTGCCGGATAAATTTTCAGGGGTTGGTCGTCGGAGGGTGATCTACCTCGTGGTGGCGTTGGTTTTAGCACAACACCGAGAGAAAGTGACTTTCACGTAGACAGGCCTTAGGTCACCGGAAAAACTGCACGATGACTAAGTTCTTTCTTTCCGGTTAACGCTGGAATGACGCACATCGATCTTTTCTCACTAATGCTCTGATACCATGTGAGAAAGCACGGGAGAAAAATATATTATTGATATAAGATACTCAATATAATACAAGAGGTCCTATTTATAGTTATAGTCTACAAAGTACATATTACTTCCATTCCAATGTGGGACTACACATAACTAACAATACTTATTTATGGTTTTATTTCAAGAATCTGTAAGGATTATTAACACCTAAAACATGGGATTTTGGGGTAAACTTTGGGGGTTTTGCCTACAACTTAAGAGAGTGAAAATTGAGGTTTTGAGCTATGATGTGGACTTGGATTTGGAAACTAAATACATATTTGGACTCGTGGAGTTATGGATAGTCGGGATCTACCCCTTGGCTCGGGTTTTGACCATGTGGGCCCGAGTTGACTTTTGCTCACTTTTTGGGAATATTGTTTGGAATTGATTCCAATGATGTTATTTGACTCTATTAAATATTATTTGTCTATATTCGAGTCGGTTGGAGGAGATTGCTAAAGGAAAGACGATTTTGGAGGGTTGATTGGACTTGCTAAGGTAAGTATCTTGCCTAACCTTATTGTGAGGGAATAACCCTTAGGATATGACCTTGTTTTCTTAATTGTAATGTATGCGAAGCGACGAAGATGCGAGATAACGAGCGTATATATGGGTGCTATTGTATGATTCATGACCGGATTAGACTTTACGCTTTTGCCTTATTTGGTTGTGTGCCTTCTAAGATTCATGTTCTAATCAATTGTATGACTACGTGAGCTATTCCTTTCACGATAGTATCCATGTTTAGGGTTACTACTTTATAATTGGCCAAGATGGGCTATTGGTGTAATTGTTATTACATTTGATGTAGTCGTAGTTATACTTCACATCTGGAGTACACATCCACACTTTTATTTGTCATGTCCTTGTGCATCTTATTGATTATTTGTGAGCATATGCCTCTTTTACAATTAAATGTTATTTTGGATTGTTATGATTATGGCACATTTGGACATTATGAGCCGGTTGATTTGGCTAAGGCACGAAGTTTCTACCATGCGGTCATTGTGATATTATTATTGTCGTGGCACGAGGTTTCTGCCACGCAGTTGAAGTGACATAGTCACTATTATGGCACGAGGTCATTGCCGTACAGCGTGTGGATAAGGATCTATCCCCTTAGGATCGTCCTCTCATGTTTTTCTCTTGATGATATACACGTAGGTTGTGAGAAACTGACGAGTTTCTAGTTGATTGTGATGTGGGATCCGATGTGATGAGTTTTGAGCATAAAGGTGGAAACTTTGATCATTTAAGTGAATCCCATATGCCTTATCTTGCATTTTATATGCTTTATATGTTGAATTATAACATTCTACTTGATGTCGCTGTTATTTGTTTTTGACTTGTTAGTTGAGATAGAATTATCCATGTTGAGTTGATATTTTTTGATTTGATCTATGATGATATTGTATCTCTTTTCATAGTCTTGCTGTAAATAATTATCTATACATGTTTATTTGATTAAGTAAATGTCACATGACCAGAATCGTCACTACTTTACCGAGGTTAGTCTTGATACTTACTGAGTACACGTTGTCCCATACTTATACTACACTTCTGCATATTTTTGTGCAGATCCAAGCGTTGGCAATAGCGGACTTCAGGAGTGAGCCTTGTAGTCGTCAAAGGAGACTCGAGGTAGTGCTACATGATCGCTCGCAGACCCTTGAAGTCCCCGTCCCCTATCTTTCATACTGTTATTTATACATTCAGACAATATTGTATTTTTGAGAGATTTCATTGTATTCTGTTTTAAAGCCCATGACTTCGTACTACCAGGTTATGGGGATTTGATGTTGTAGTGTCCATATGCTATCTGTTGTTGAAGTCTTAATCCGCTAGTTATGCTATTTCAGTTATATTTTACCTTGATTATGTTGGTTTGCTCTATATTGGATGGTGGCTTACCTAGCCATAGAGGATAGGTGCCATCACGACCGTTAGTGGGATTCGGGGTCATGATAAAGTTGGTATCAATTAACTTAATTATGCCAAGGTACTGAAAATATTTACTAATATGTGCCCATAGAGATGTTAAAAATTAAAGCAAACAAATAGCAAACTGTCTAATTGGATACTATTAGTTGAATTAACCATTATTTCTTCATAAGTGATCTAAATTCAAAATTGATCTTCAAAGTTTTTGTTAAAGAGAGTAGATATGCAAATAAATCCTAGGTAATGACACAATAACAAGAGTGCATGGGTAAAGATTCGAAATCTCAGTCAGACCTCATGGAAGATATAGTTTAATTATGTAGCAAGCTCATAAAGCCATACACGTGCAGAGCATGGAGAACGGAGAACACTTGTTAAGAAAAGATGGAAAGTAAAACATTCACCTGCACTCAATGTCATAAGAAGAACAATAATAAAAGCAAAAGGAAAGTGTCAGGTGCATACATCCTTCTCAAGTGCCAGACGACGCTCACGCAATGCATTTTTCCGATTCTCCATACTTTCTTGCAGAAGGGCATTCCCCTTGGCCTACAAAGAAGAGATGTGTCACACCAAGACCAATTTTCAATACTTAAATAAACAAATTATGCAAAAATAACAAAAGGAGAAGTAATGCATTCCGTAAGAATGAGAATCTCATAAGAGGTACCTGCTCTGCAATTTTGGATTGCAAGTCAGTTTTAGTGACCTCAAGCCTTTGGATTTCAGTCCTAAAGCAAGTCCAAATGCAAAGATACCAAAATGAGAAAATTAATCATATGTATATAAATGTAAGAAATTTAAGGCAGGGTAGGGGATTTTTCTGTTCATTGCTGATTACACTTGTTGTATGAATGCTGTTTACACTATAGTGTTTGATCATATTGGGTGTTCTTATTTTTCTTTCTCTACTTAGTCCAAAAGTTCTCTTATAAGTTGGTTCCTCGTTGTTCAAGAACTTACTTTTACTTGCTAACTCTGTCTCAATTTATGTGACACTCTCTGTCCCAAAAAGAATGACACCTTTGACTTCTATATTTAAAAATAATTTAACTTTAATCTTCTCATTTTACTCTTAATGAGATGAAATACAGACATACAGATGTCTATGGCTTATTTTAGACCACAAGTTTCTTTCTTAAACTTCGTGCCTAGTCAAACACCATCACTTAAAATGGATGGAGTGAGTACTAATTTTCTTTTATGGTATACCTTGGTTTACCCCTATCTTCAACGTAAAATCAACTTCTGATAATTTTATCACTTACACGTCATCAAGAGGGACATTGATAGATTCCATCGAGAGGTTCTTCTTGGCCTAGACTCAGAAAAGAAAAAGACAACAATAGAAGTATCAAAAATTTACACCCAAGTACTATAGTCAAAACAGATGTAATAATGCTGAATACCACATTCAATTTAATCTCAAAATGCTAAGCTTAAGGAATAGATATATGTGAAAGCCCATATGGAAAAGTGAGAACATGATGGCATACGAGAAAAATAGCTACACAGTTATTTTGAAAAGGTAACTGTCAGCCAAAAGCATTCAATTCTTACAGGAGAGCGCCCCCACAGAGCAGGGCGCCAAATGCTTTGGGCAGGTCTACTTTGTATATCTATTGACTTTTGGGAAGTAGATGTTTTTGCCAGTTCAGCTCCCAATTGTTCACCACATTCATTTCCTTGCGTCCTTGAAATTTCATTACTTTGAACTGGAACACTCTTGCTTCCTTCCACTGGATCATGCTGAATAGAAGTATGAGGTGGACTTCTAGGCAAGCACCTACTGGCTTCGCTGTCGGCTTCGGGAGACTTGGAACCAGATTTAGAAACTTGAGAGCTCTGCAACGTTAATCTATATCCTTAGGGAGAAGTGACAGAAGTTGACGTGGGGAGGAGCAAATATGTACCAAAAATAGTTCAAGAGGACTGCATGAAAGCAGAGAGAGAACTAACATTATCAGCAAGCTTTTTTAGAGATTTTCCATTTCCTCAAAATAGTCTTCGACTATATTCAAGTAATCAATATCGTTTTGCACATCAAAATCATGCAATACAAATTGGTTAAACATCTGGGTCATGGTGGGATCAATTTTTGTTGATCTTCATATCCACTAAATACTACTCCCTCTGACTCATTTTACATGAAGGTGTTTGCTTTGGGCATGGAGTTTAAGAAATTAAAGAAGATTTTTAAATGAGTGGTGGTGAGAGTTCCACAATCGACATGTCTTTTCATTTTCTCTACTTATAAAAAGAATAAACTTTTATACTAAACGGTTCCCAACAAGTCATGTCCCTAAGGGTAAAATGGGGATGCTACGACTAAATAGTTTCCAAAAACAAAAATGTGTCATTCTTTTTGGGACAGACTAAAAAGAAAAGCGTGCACATAAAATGGGAAAGAGGATATTACAAATTGACAAGCAAACCACAAGTTTTCAAGGACAGATATACAAGCAGCGTGCAGCCCCTGAAGGGATGGGGTTGATTTAAAAGGTCCTTAGCATCACGCAGGATCAGCGGAAAAGCATGAGATAAGAATAATAAGGCTGACAATAGGATAATGAAGGCAATAGGAAAGAACCTTGTTACTATTTTCACATTCACCAACCTCACTGGTTGTTGGGCTGGACTCACGATCAAAATCATCATCACTATCAGCATCAGATCCCTCCTGTGAATCATCCTCATAGCTTTCATCATCATCAGTAAGTTCTTCACTCTCGCTTCCACTACCGTCTGAGTCAGAGTATAGTTCAGGCGATACAGAGCCTTCCTGCAAAGAGTTTCAACTGCTACTTGAACAGAAGGGGACTGGAAATCAACATAGAAAACTTCATTTTCTGCAGAAATTTCCTTATCCAGGTTATTCAAGCGTTTACCTATAATACTCTTTCTGCAATTTTTTTGGAAACTGATCCTAAGGAATAACCACATTAGGCATGAAAGTATTGCTTATGCTATATATCTGTTAGTTAATGCTTTATATTGCTGTGTTTCTATTAAGGATGGTAAACTGATTTTCATGCTCCGCAAACCACACGAAGATGGGTTAAGTAGCAGAGGCAGGACTTTTCATATGGTTAACCTATGGTTGACTAGAACCATATAACATAGGGTTGCAGGAATTGCATCCAAGGGCTATCAGAAATCAGCTAAAGTGGTAAAGGAGGCCTTTGTGGAGAAGTTTAATATTTTCAACATGTGGATTGGCGAATTAAGCTTCACAATCTGAAAAGATTATAGTTCACTTCTAAAGCAATTCTTCATCTTCAACTTTTTTGCAAGGTATGATGATCAAGTCATGGAGGTTGACAAAAGGCCTCATGTATCCATAACTCAGGAGTCAATGAAAATGCCCATCAACATTCAATATACAAATATCCAATGGCAGATTAAAAAGCGATATGTCATCAAACTGAGGTTCCAAATAAACAGAAGTTCTCAATACAAAAGCGATGTCGGTGAGTATGAAAATACAGATGTTAAATGGCTAGTAATGTCTAGTGTCCCACATCGGGAAGTAGATACCTATTATTATGCAATCACTGTATAAAAATAAAGCAATGTACTACACTTTAGACATAATTAATAAAACTTTTCCGTTTATACTTCTCACATGGTATCAGAACATCGGTGAGAAACTCTGGAAAGGTCGGGCAATCGTTGTGCATCTACTTCAAGCGACTTTTTCAAGATCTGATTGCATCACCTCTCTATTGGCGAGTGTTGTGCTAAAACCAACACTACCAACATACTCGGAAAGCGCCGGCGACAAAACCCCAAGAAACCAGTCCGGCAGAAACCTTCCCTCGTGCCGTCACGCGCGGCAAGAAGCTCTGACGCCGGCGACGCGTCTGTCACACGCGCCGGCACGTGGACCCTGTTTCGGCCAGGTTTTGACGAAAGTTCTTTTGGACAGTGTGTTTGCCTATCAATTCCGAGCCTACCCATCATCTTTTCTTTTTATTCCGATCACTTTCAATTTTTTCCGGCAGCTACAGTGATTTTTCCGGCAAAAACACTGTTTCCTTCCCTGTTTCAGCGAGATACAGTTGATTGTTTTTATTATTTGTTTCTAGACATCTCTCCAATCCAACGATGTCTTTGGGATTTGATGTATTTGGTTCTAAAAATACGGAATCTGGAAATTCAAGTTTGATGATTACTTCGGAACCCTTAATGGGAAGTTCAAACTACTTAGCCCGGGCTTCTTCTGTTGAGTTGTGGTGCAAGGGTCAAGGTGTTAAAAATCACTTAGCCAAGAAGACTAGTGATGGATGTTAAATAGTTGGTAATGTTTAGTGTCCCATATCGGGAAGTAGATACCTATTATTATGTAATCACTATATATAAATAGGGCATTGTATAACATTTTAGACATAATTATTAGTTTACAGATATGTATAGTGTAGTCTTGTCCCACATTGGAAGAAGAGTAATATCTCCTTGTAGTGTATAGCTATAAATAGGGACCTCTTGTATTGTATTTATCATCTAATATCAATAACATATTTTCTCCCATGCCTTCTCACATGATATCAGAGCATTAGTGAGAAACCCGTCGCTGTGCATTATTCAAGCGACTTCTAGGAAGAAAGACCTCTTCGCCGTGCAATTTTCCGGTGACTTAGAAGGCTGTCCGTAAGCAAATCACTTTCTGTTGGTGTTGTGCAAAAACAAACACCACCACAAGATTCCTCAGGCTCCGGCGACCAAACCCCAGTCAGCCCCAACGGAAAACACACGTCCACGCACCCTCACGCGCCTGGAAAAGAAAATATTTGCGGCGAGATCTGACCCACACGCCGGCGCGTGAGCACTGTTCTGGCCAGATTTTGAAAAAGTTCCAGTTGAACAGTAGGATCGCCTGGTAATTCCGATCCTACCCTCACTGGTTTTGTTTCATTCCGACCACTTTGAGTTTTTCCGTCAGCTACAGTGTTTCCGGCGCAGAACAATGTTCTGTTTTCCTGCTGTAAATAGTGTTTTTCAAGCTATTTCTTCAGTTTTCTCACAGGAGTTACTTATTTCCACTATTTCAAGTTAACCCTACTACTACAAATTGTAGCGACATAGAAACCGATACTTTGAATAATCGGATGGTTTCTTTANGCATACCCACTCCCATTTCCCTCGGCGTCTTGATAATCGAGCAGAGTCACCTCTTACTTTAGTCCATTCGGATGTTTGGGTTCCTAGTCGGGTCAGTTCCACCTTGGGATTCCGCTACTTTGTCAGTTTCATTGATGATTATTCCAGGTGCATTTGGATATTTTTGATAAAAAATCGATATGAGATGTTTTCTATTTTCCAGACCTTCCACGCTGAAATTCAAAATCAATTTGGGGTTTCTAATCGCACATTTCGTAGTAATAATGCCCAAGTCTTTCCCATTTCAGCAGTTTATGAAATCTCATGGGATTATTCATCAAACATCTTGTCCGTACACCTCAACAAAATGAGGTAGTTAAAAGAAAGAATAGACATCTTATTGAAACTGCTCGTACCCTACTCATACAATCTCATGCTCCGTTGCGTTTTTGGGGGATGCAGTTTTTACATCTTGCTATCTTATTAATCGTATGCCATCTTCACCTATCCAGAACCAAGTTCCATTCTCTGTCATGTTTTCCCACTTACATTTGTTCTCTCTTCCAC